ATGATTTCATAGACATTAGGGCTGGAAGGGACCTTGGAAGATCATCGAGTCCAGCCCCCCGCCCAAAGGGCAGGAAGTCAGCTGGGGTCATAGGATCCCAGCAAGATAAGCATCCAGTTTCATCTTGAAGGTGTTCAATGAAGGCGCTTGAACCACCTCCGGTGGCAGGCTGTTCCAGACCTTGGGGGCTCGGACAGTAAAGAAGTTCTTCCTTATGTCCAGCCTGAAACGATCTTGAAGTAGTTTGTGACCATTCGACCTCGTCATCCCTTGGGGCGCTCTGGTGAACAAACGTTCCCCCAGATGCTGGTGGTCACCCCTGATAAACTTGTAGGTGGCCATCAGATCACCCCTGAGCCTGCGCTTTTTCAGGCTAAAGAGCCCCAGGGCTCTCAGCCTGTCATCGTAGGGTCTGCTTCCCTGACCTCTGATCATGCGCGTGGCTCTTCTCTGGACTCTCTCAAGCTTCTCCACATCCTTTTTGAATTGTGGAGCCCAAAACTGGACACAGTACTCCAGCTGCGGCCTCACTAAGGCCGAGTACAGGGGGAGAATGACGTCCCGGGATTTGCTTGAGAAGCATCTATGGATGCAAGCCAGCGTTTTGGTCGCTTTACTAGCCGCCGCATCGCATTGCAGGCTCATGTTCATCTTGTGGTCAATGATGACCCCCAAGTCTCTTTCTTCCATAGTGCTAGCCAACATAGCACTGCCGAGCCTATAAGGATGCTGCGGGTTTTTTTTCCCAAGGTGGAGAACCTTGCATTTATCGGCGTTGAACACCATCAGATTCTCGTCCGCCCACTTGCTGAGCCTGTCCAGGTCAGCCTGGATAACCTGCCTGTCTTCTGGTGTGGATGCTTTGCCCCAAAGTTTGGTGTCATCGGCGAACTTGGCCAGTCCGCTTCTGACTCCAGTGTCCACATCATTAATGAAGATGTTGAACAGTATGGGTCCAAGGACAGAGCCTTGGGGGACCCCACTGGTCACAGGACACCACGATGAGTGACTTCCATCAATTACTACCCTCTGGGTCCGACCCCGGAGCCAATTTTCCAGCCAGTGGATCGTGGAGGACCCAAGGCGACAATTGGCCAGTTTCTCCAAGAGGCGATCATGGGACACCAGATCGAAGGCTTTTTTGAAGTCAAGATATATGACATCAATCTCTTCTCCCTTGTCCAGGTGATAGGTCACCTGGTCGTAGAAGGAAATGAGATTGGTCAAGCAAGACCTACCCGCAACAAACCCGTGCTGGCTATCCCTTAAGATGTTGGCGTCGGCCAGTCCATTAAGGATGGCCTCTTTAATAAACTTTTCTAAGATCTTCCCCGGGATAGAAGTCAGGCTGATGGGCCTATAGTTAGCCGGATCCACTTTCCTCCCTTTCTTGAAGATAGGCACCACATTGGCCTTCTTCCAGTCTTCGGGCACTACACCAGAGCGCCAAGAGTTTTCAAAGATCCGTGCTAGAGGCTGGGCTATGATGCTTGCCAGCTCCTTGAGTACCCTGGGGGGAAGATTGTCAGGGCCAGCTGACTTGAAGGTATCCAGCTTCTCAAGATGTTCTTTCAGAAAGTCAGCATTAAGGGAGGGCAGGGGATCACCCTCACCCGGACTTCCCGGCCCTGTAGCGGGCATGGGCGTCCCATGGGACTGATGAAAGACTGACGCAAAGTACCTATTTAATAGGTTGGCTTTTTCCTGGGCGTCAGTTGTCAGTTGCCCCATCTGGCTCAGCAGGGGTCCAATGTTGCCTCTGCTTTTCCTCCGGCTCCCCACATATCTGAAAAAGGACTTTTTATTGTCCTTGATGCTCGAAGCTAGTTGGAGTTCAGTTGCAGCCTTGGCTTTCCTGGTCTGCTCCCTACAGGACCGGACCAGTGCAGAATAATCCTGCTTGGAGGTGACTCCCCTCCTCCATCCTTTGTAGGCCTTTCTTTTTAGCCTCAGGAGGTCTGCTAGGTCCCTGGAGAGCCAGGGGGGCTGCTGTGCCCTCTTGCTGCCTTTCCTCCGAGATGGAATAGACTTAGTTTGTGCATTGAGGATCGCTCCCTTGAGGAGCAACCACTCCTCTTGAACTCCCCTCTCCCTGTGGTCACGGCCCCTTAGGGCCTCACTGACAAGCCTCCTGAGCTTGTCAAAGTCGGCTTTCCTGAAGTCAAAGACTTGCGCGTTGCTGATTCAGGTTTGGAGATTCGGCCACCAAATAGGGCCAAATCTCCTCCAAATCGAATCAGCACCCAAAGCATCATACAGCCTTAATAAATAACAAATATGCAGATACAGAAAATTCACAGATTTAGGCTATTATAAATCCTCTATATGGTGTTAAATTCCACAACACCTAAAATAAGCCATTTTGGCTCTGTGTGTGCGTGTGCATGCATGTGTACACACACATGTTCTACATGTTTGCTATGAGCCACTGTGCACTTAATACTGATGATTTTATATTGTAAAATTAAATATAGTTCTCTCATATTCAAACAAAAACTGAAGCAAGTATATTATGATGAATACATACAGTATTTACTTCTTGTAAGAAAATTCAATCAATACATGAAAATTCTTCACTAGGTTTAGTTAGAAGGAGTATCTCATGCCAAACAAGCAGAGTAAACTACTTTGATCACAATCCTACAAAGGATTGTGCATGTGGTTAACTCTACTGTGAGTAGAGTTTGACTTTGGGGGAAATTTTAGAAAGAATAAGTTAGCATAAAAGTATTTTTTTTGTTAGGCAATATTCGGAAAATAAAAGAAGAGGTCAATTAAAGTTTACAAAAAGTCATCAGTGAAACTATTCATGATTACACTTGACACTTACCTGCTAGATTATCTACACTACTAGCCAGGCTTGTTGCTGATAATGGACCAGGAGTGAGTGTAGAGGAACCAGTAATGTTCAGATGCAAACTTAAATAAGATCAAACTAGGTACAGCATCATGTACAGATACAAGTATACAAGGTCCTATATAATGGAAGTTATACTGTTACAAAGCTTCAGAATGGAATAGCTATGCAAAATACAGGATTTACTAATATGTTTCATAGTTTCATGGTTTGTAGGGTTGGAAGGGACCTTGACAGGTCATCAAGTCCGACCCCCAGCCATGGCAGGAAAGAGCACTGGGGTCAAACGACCCCAGCAAGGTGTTCATCTAGCCTCCTCTTAAAGACTCCCAGGGTAGGAGCCAGCACCACTTCTCTTGGAAATTGGTTCCAGATCCTACCCGCCCTGACTGTGAAGTAGTGCCTCCTGATGTCTAGTCTAAATCTACCCTCTGCCAGCTTGTGACCGTTATTTCTAGTCACTCCCGGGATTGCTCAGGGGAACAGGGACTCCCCCAATGCCAGCTGGTCCCCCCTGACTAGTTTGTAACAGGCCACTAGATCCCCCCTCAGCCTTCTCTTCTGGAGGCTGAAAAAGTTCAGGTCCCTTAGCCTCTCCTCGTAGGGCCTGCCCTGCTGTCCCCTGATCATGCAGGTGGCTCTCCTCTGGACCCTCTCCATGCTGTCCATATCCCTCCTGAAGTGCGGCGCCTAGAACTGGATGCAGTACTCCAACTGCAGCCTGACCAGTGCTGCATAGAGGGGGAGGATCAGCTCCTTGGACATGCTTGAGATGCCTCTGTGGATGCACGACAAGGTGCGGTTGGCCTTCCTGACCGCGTCCCCACACTGTCGGCCCATGTTCATTTTGGCATCAGTAATGATTCCAAGATCCTTTTCTGCTTCTGCACTGACAAGAAGGGAATTTGAATGTTTGAATATTCCTGTACTGAAACCAGGCAAATAATTTTCAGGCATGGATTGTGTGCATTTTTATATACCTGAGATTTGATTCTATATTACTAAAGTCCATA